CCGAGCAGCACTCTGCAGCCCTGGGGTTAAATATATATATTTATATAAATATATATGGGGAGAGAGGGTAATTTGGCCCTGCGCGCTGCAAATTGAACAGTTAAACAATGACAGAGTTTTTCCACTCCATTTGGCAAACCCCGGCATCAGCCCCTCGGTGTTGTCGGGGGTCCTCACCCCTCACGGCAGCAGCAGGCACGGCCGAAGGGTTAAACATAAACTTTAAACATCCCCTGTCCCGCAGGAGCTCCTTTTCCATGAGCCGAGGTGGGCTTTCCCCCCCTCTCCTTAAATAACGAGGGTGGTCCCAGCATACTCTATATCGAGACAGCTTTTCATCAGTTGCTCATCAGCATGCTAATTGCTGTATGACTAATTATGCCCTGAATTCCAGTTGATTTTCTTAATGAGACAGCTGGGTTAATTATGTAATCGTATGATTACATTAGCCCAGAGTGCCCTGGCGAAAAGGAAGGCGGGCGGCAGTGGGATGTCACCGGCGAGGGGCACGGGGGCAGCCGTGGTCATTTTGGCCGAAATGATCGGGGAGGGCAACGCTGCGGCAGCGCCCGCGGTGTAAACACCGGGATATGGGATTGTTGACACCGGGAGCTGTGCCCTTCTTCCAGCTCGCAGGATGAGGGAGGGATGGGGCTTCAACAAAAGTCACTTGGGAAGTTCAGGCAGTTATCGATGGTCCTGTTGTATCTCGGGGATTGAGGTTGGGTTTGGGCTGAGCGATGTGGGGTGAGGATCGGCTTGTAGAGTCATGGAATAGCCTGAGCTGGAAGGGGCTCACAAGGATCATCAGTGCATCAGGGACACGGCACAGCCCCAACAATCCCACCCTGTGCATCCCTGGAGCAGTGTCCAAACACTCCTGGAGCTCTGGCAGCCTCGGGGCCGTGCCCATTCCCTGGGGAGCCTGGGCAGTGCTCTTTGATATTCTCTTGATATCCAGCCTAAACCTCCCCTTACACAGCTCCAGCCATTCCCTGCTGCCGTCGCAGGTCACAGAGAGCCGAGATCAGAGCTGTAGACTCCAGTGAGTGTCTCCTCACTCTCCTCCAGCTCAACAAACCAAGTGCCCTCAGCTGCTCCTTGTAAAGCCCCTCCTGACCCTGCACCGTCTGCGTGTCCCTCCCTTGTAAACTCTCTACATGTGACACTCAAAACTGCACAAGCATGGTGAGCGGCTGCCTCCTGTAATGCATAGTTCGGGCAAAATCAGTCTCAGTGACTCTTTTAAAATTGTTTGTGAAGTCAGTTCTTTACATACCTAAACAGCAGCAGCAAAAAAAAAAAAAAGTTCCCTTGCCCTGCTGTTCAGAAAAGATTCATCGTCAGGACATATGCGAGAATAGCCTGAGCCTGAGAGGTGTTGTTGCGGCTGCGTCGCACCAGCTTGTTTGATGTGAAGTATTAACCGCTATAAAAATCACTTTGCATTTGTAACATTAATTGTTTTCGTGTCTGTGTCCACTGAGACGTGTCCATCCTCCTCCTCTGTGGGGACAGAAGCTCCTCTGCTGGTGTGTCCCAGCAGCGAGCAGGGGATGTGCCCAGAGCTCTGCAATCCCTGGGGAAGGAGAGGCAGGAACGGGCTCTGTGGGCTCGGAAATTCGGCGGTTTCTGTTTCTGCTGTGGTAGCGTGGAGGAAACCTCGTCAGGGATCGGATCCAGAAATGCTGGGCTGCCTGCAAACACAGGGGGCTTCTCTGTGGGTATGGCATGCAACAAGTGGATTAGGGAAAACGAGCAGAATAGGAAGCAAGAGAAAAAAATGCACCAAATTTAGCGTAAAATACTCTTGGGCAGTAATGATCTTGCAAAATGCTTCTTCAGGTTCTGGATGATCAGATCTCTTTTACTAATTTTCTCACTTTTTTATTTACCTTGTGCCTAGCAGGTGTTCTGGAATTTCACAGGAGAAAATTCAAAGCAAGGGAATAATGTGTGATAAGGTTTCTATATCTCAGTGTTCAGCGAGGTGATTTTTCTCTCTTACAGACCACAGAAAGGGCATTTCCTTCACTGCCTCTCTCCGTAAGCCAGGGCCAGTTGATTTTTATTTTGAGCCGTGTATGCCTGTTGTTTGTGTAATGAATCGAAAGTTTTGGTCCATTGCTTGTTTAAAAATTCAGTGACCTCCTGTTAAATGACATGAAACATACTTTGCAAACCTGGTTAATATAAAAAGGTATGCTTTTCCATGCATGCATGTGTTGGGAAAAGGAGAGTATTTTTATTTATTTTTAATCCGCTCCACTCAGGTAGGAAAAAAGTCATTGTGAGTGTAAGGTTTATACTTGTTTCAGGTTAATTGGTGTTTATAAATACTCCAGAAATAACAGGTTTTTAGGCTTTTCAAGCTACAAGAGCATGTTGAAGCTTGCCTTGAGAAATTATTTTTCTCTCTGCCCAAAATATCTTGGTTGGTCATTTTATTGTCATGCAATGATTAGTTTTCTTTAATGCAGTTTATAAAAATTAAATCTAAGAGGTGCTTCATCCATGGGGTTTTTTTACATGTCCTGCAGCAGTATTTGGTGGCTGCAGGCCATTAGTCCCTCAAATAGGCTCTAGTGAAGTTTGAAGTTTAATGCTCAGAGACTTTTTTTACATTTTGTTTGTTCTGTCACTGTTTTGCTACTTGAACATTAACCTTTAATAGAGCTAAATTAAATATACATGTCCTGATGAATAATTATGAGATTGCAAGCATTTTCATTTTGTACACAAAGCTTCTCAGGGATTGCAAATTTGACTAAAGGTTTAGTCATTATTCACTTTATAATGCCCATGTTATTTTTGTCTTTTAATTCTTTACTGATTTCAATATAAAAAGCCCTGTGTATTAGGAGCAGAATACCTCTTGTGCATGTCCTGGCTTTTTACAACAGGCGTGTTAAAATGAGGGTGGGGAAAAGTGCACCCACAATTTTGTCAAGTTCAGTTTCTTTCATCGTGGCACTTTAACACAGTTCCATAGAAATACCCACAGCTGAAGCTTAAGATCCTGAGCCTGATAGGATTCGTGGTTCCTGTAACAATTTAAGACGTGGCCAGAGCGAGACAATCCTGCCTTTCTTTGTGCTCAGCAGATGAATGTCCCGGGCTGGCTCTTTGGGGGATGCTGAGCTGCAGGAGTGTGACAAAACTCTCCTTGCAGAGGAAGGTCAGGGACCTCCATGGGAGCAGGGGAATGTTGTGACAGCCCACACCGTGATAGGACCATCCATAAATACTGCAGAGCCTTCAGCTCGTGCTACTGCTGCCACTTCAGCTCTCTATTTAATTCCTTACCTGTACCCCCCTGTCTCTGCCACCATAACATTTTAAGTTTGATTTATTATAAATATTTTAATACAGATAATAATAACGAAAAGTATTTGGCCTAAAAAGCATAAATGAAAAAGCTATGTAGTCATAAACTATGTATGTACAGAGAACAGATGACAAGCAACCTAGATTTTGTATTATGAACGGGGTAATGCCATAAGCTGTTGAAGAGCCCAACTAACAAAATGCAGCAGGCTGCTACTTAGAATGTCTCTGAGCTCAACATAACCCAGTGCTATTCTTTTATAAACTATGCAACAACGCTGGCATATTGAAAAAACACACAGGCTCATGCTTAATGTGTTAACAGAGGTACAATAGACTTATTATGTGTTTCCAGAGACTGGAACTGAGGGTGGTCTGAAAAATTAATGACTGTGGTGGTTGAAAATTAAGTGAACTCCCTAATATATACTGTTGTTGATCCACTGAGTTTGGTGTTTAGCATTCCTCAACAGGAGACTAAATCTTTGCAGCCATTTCACAAGAGATGCTGGCGCCCGTAGCAGAAATGTATTCAATAATCTTTTATAAGTCCATCACACTCCGGAGTTTTCCTACCCTGACTGGGAAGAACTCCCAGAATAAATCACATGTGCACATGTCAGGTGTGTGCTGAGAACCCTCTTTACCAGAAGGGGATGGACATCAGAGAATTAATACAGGGAGGACATTTGATTAATAGTGGTAAGAAAAAGTGAGATCCAAACCCAAGGTTCATGGAATTGATTACATCCACATAATGTTTTGGATTATTATTGATCTGTCAATTAGAGAAAAGTGCCACTCAGATCTCCATGGTCACAGGACCTGTTTGAGCTCTGCTGTGCAGGAGGACAGAGTTTGCTTCAGAAATTCACTCCTGCACAAGCAGTCCCCTACTGTGAGGGACAGTAGCTGTCAGTGAGCTGTGCAGTTTGAGTGCTTTTCACCCAAAAATTCTCATTTTGCAATAGAAAATGTGAAGCTTAAAACTCTCACATGCCTTTGAATTATGACTGCACCCAGGAACGCTGTCCTGGAGGTTAGTGCCAGGATGAAGAAGGTGTGTCCAGATTTCATGGAATCACAGAACGGTTTGGGTTGGAAGGGACCTGAAAGCTCATCCCATTCCACCCCTGCCACGGGCAGGGACACCTTCCACTAGCCCAGGCTGCTCCAAGCCCTGTCCAGCCTGCCCTTGGACACTTCCAGGAATCCAGGGACAGCTACAACCAGGGCAAGCTGTGCTGGGACCTCACCACCCTCACAGCCAAGAATTTTTTCCCAATATGCCATCCATCCCTGCCCTCTGGCAGTGGGAAGCCATTCCCTGTGTCCTATCCCTCCATGCCTTGTCCCAAGTCTCTCTCCAGCTCTCTTGGAGCCCCTCTTAGGCATTGGAAGAGGCTCTGATGTCTTCCCAGAGCTTTTTCTTCTCCTGGCTGTGAACACCCTCAGCCCTCTCAGCCTGGCTCTGTATTTAAAGGGAACATAGAATGAAATATTCCTGGTTTTTTTAAGTTTGCAGGATATATGATGTGACGAATGTACAGGTCTAATAACTTAAAGAAGGGCTCTGCTGGCACCAAAATGGAGAAAAAAGGACACTTGTGCTCTGAACTGCTTGGGTCACAGAAGCATTCCTGTTACATTTTATTTTACTGTTTCTTTTTCAGATCCGGTTCCAGCCTTGGATTTAGGACAGCAGCTTCAGCTGAAGGTTCAACGCATGCACGATATTGAAACAGAAAACCAGAAACTTAGGGAAACTCTGGAGGAATACAATAAGGAATTCGCCGAGGTGAAAAATCAGGGTAGGTTGCAACCCTGTTACCAGCTTTTAATGCATACTGAAATTTGAAGGCAGGGATTTAATTCAGTTTTATACTTACAGGTAGAGGTAAAAGTAGCATTGAAATTCAGAAGAGAAAGCAATAGTCTATTGGAGCCACTTCTGTATTTGTGTGTGGAGATGGGCTTTGGGCAGACTCTGTGAATTTCTTAAAGGTTTCATTTATTGCAGCACCAAGTCAGAGGATGGAGTTGTTATTCTGCATATTTGGTTGTAGCTTTCAGCACTGAAAATTACACCTGACTGACGTTATTTGTGACATTTTATGAGAGGCAGTGCTGGTGCTGACATCAAGCTGAACGTGGGTGTTGGTGCTTGCAGGATGTGCAGCTTGCACAGACAAACACAAAAAATCAGTATTTTGTACCCAGATATGAATATGTACAAAATGGAACTTTTTCTGTACTGTTTGTCTTTATCTAAATGTACTACTAGTGTACATTCAGCATATGCACTTCATTTTTACTCTAGAGACCATCCACAGAGCAATGTAAATACAAGCTATTACAGTTAAATTATTTAAGTTTTAATGAGACTAAAGTACATGAAAATACATGAAAATCTCAGTGAGATTTAAAGTCTGTTGGCTTTAAGACTGCTTAAGTTTTCTTGTGGTTCAGTTTCCTGCACCAGGAAAAAAAAATTTCTCAGCCATACACTTAGTTGTCCATCCATGGGACTTTCCACGTCCATCTTTAATGCTCAGTTCTGGATGGTGGAAAAGGAAATTGTCTTGGCATTTGGAAAAATTGAGATTTTATTTCATTTTTTATGTTATGAAACTGTTGCACCCAAGTAACATTTGAAAGCTGCATTAGCAGCTAAGTTGATTTTGTTAAATCTCATTTTTTGCTGAGGGGACATCTACACAGTTAGATCTTTTCAAATATATTTTGTTTTAACGTAGAGGGTGTGACCCCTGGAGAGGACAGGTATCAGCATGCCAGGATTTGGCCTGGACTGCAGGAGATGTCATGTTGGAACTGTAAATGCTCCAAGCAAGGCTGTATTTTTTGCTGGAAATGTACAATCATTGCAGTTCACTGTGCAGAGTTTTCCTGAGGCTGTGCATCCAGTACATCCACACATGACATGGGGGTTCATCCCACAAAGTGGAAAAGCTCTTGACTTGCAGAGTTTTTTGTTACAACCACTCCTAACTGACATTTTTGGTTTTCCCTGGTGTGCTGGAACTTCCTTTCCATTTCCCCACTGTAGCCTTTGTGTTGTTTTTCACTCCAGTGCAGTGGTTTTACTCTCAGTTTCAAACAGGGATTAATAAACTATCCAGGGAAAAGGCTGTTGTTAGCTGAGGGTGCTTTGATCAGTTAATCTCTTTGTTTGGAGGGCTGGTACGAGCTCTGTGGTGCCTGTAAGAACTTCTTCCAAAACTGGTATAAATGGCAGTGCCTGACAAGCTGTAGCTGACCTGAGCACTGAAGAAGGCACTTAGTGCTTCAAGCAATGTAGAGGATTCAGCTCTAGTAAACTAATAAAATAAAATCAGATTTTATTACAAAAATTACGTTTCCCCCCATATTTGTGCATTCCTTGCGTTTGTATTCTTTTAAAATGAGACATTGAAACTTAGTCAAGGTGCAATTATGTGCATTTCCATGAGATTATTTTGCTCTCTGCTTCTCCATGTACCAGAATATTTTTGCAGATTTATATCTGAAAACACGTGGAGCAGAGGTGTCCCCAGAAGGGAGTGCAGCATCCCACTGTTCGAAGGAGCATCCTTTGCTTGCTCAGGAAGAGATCAGGATTTGTAAGACTTCTCACATCTCAGGGAAGAATTTCCCTTTGCTTAAGAAAAAAAGAAGTGACGTGTCCTTTTCACGGCTTGTTACTCAGTAATGAGCCTCAGCTGATTTCTGCACAGCCAGCAAAATCCTGCTCCTTCAGGCAGAGGCAGCAGCTTTGCTGGCAAGCATTTTTACCACTCCTCCCTCCTTTTTTTGTGGTCACAGTGGCCCAAGCTGCCTATGGTAGTACCCAGACAGCAGATCATGTCACCAGCTACCTCCTGTCTGCTTCAGAGCTCCCTGCTCAACTCTCAACATTGGGATTTTGAAGGGATTATGTGTGGGGTTTTGTGATATTATTGAGGTTTTTTTCCCCCAAGCCCTTAAGGTTTATTTTTCATATTAGGGTTTGTCTTCCTAGGATGTTTATGCAGAATATAAAACTTTTCACATCCAAAAGTTTTTATTTTTTCCTCAGGCATTATTAATGGTATCTGTTAATAAACTGATGTCTTTAACCCCCCCTGCATCCTGGTGTGCATACTCTAAACTGTGTTGCTGCTGAGTCTTCTGGCAGTCCAAGGCTTTTTCCAAATTCCATTATTGTTACAAAGCATACTCTGGTGGATGTCCTGCTTTTCCTCTTCTGAGCCCTATAAGGATTCAGTCCTTTCCTGTGGGTGGGATCACAGGGCTTTCACGTAGGAACAGATCAGGACACGTAAGGAGATGCTGAGCTGTAGCTCTGCAGGTTTCTGCATCTGCTCTCATCCACTGCTGGGCATGGGGAAATGCAGGAGAGCTCCCTTATCTGAGGAAAGAGTTCTGCAAATTCCCTGGAAGGCCTGCAAGGGCCTCAGAAAGTTAAAATAGTCAATGTTTGTGTGTAAACCCTGGGGTGGGTGAGGAGGCAGCGACAGCAACTGGGACATGCAGAGCTCCAGTGCCTGCTGTTAATGCAGCAGTTGGACCCCAGCTGCTGGGTTTCTCATCAGCTGGGAAGCAGAACAGAGCTGTATCCCAGATATGTGTTCAATTAGTGTGAGATTGCATCTGTGCATGAACCATGGTGGAACTGCCTCTTAGTGCATGAGCACAGTCAGGTGAATTAAGTGTCCTGTGTGTAAATGCATACTTAAACCTACACTGGGACTTTATTAATCTTCTCTCAGCACTGAGCTAATTTTAGGCTAGTCAATAAGGTGATATTATATTTTACAATTGATTTTTTTTCTTCTTTTTTAAAAAAAATTCATGTTAGAGGAACCTTCTTCACTCTGCTTTCCAGCAAACTCCATTGATCCTTCTCAACCTAAACACTTAAAGTTCAATTTAACATTTAGGGAGTAAAAGGTCTCCAAAGGGACTCATATCCATTGATTTTGTGTCAGAGTTGAAGAGCTAAAGTTTAAAACACACTGAGCCTACAGGGTAAAGCAAGCCTTGTGTTGTGGAACCACGTGGAGCTGTGTAAACTCATTCTTCCCCTATTGTTTTCCTGCAGAGGTTACAATAAAAGCACTTAAGGAGAAAATCCGAGAATATGAACAGACCCTGAAGAACCAAGCAGAGAACATAGCCCTTGAAAAGGAACAAAAGTTACAAAATGACTTTGCAGAGAAGGAGAGGTGAGTGTGTGTGTTTGTGTGTGTGTCTGGGTGTTGGGGAGGAGGAGAAAGGTATTTTTCTGTTTAATCTTCCCAGCCAGGACTGGAGGCTGGAGACAGCTCATCCATTGAGTGATTCTGGCGATTTATGCGTTTGACACAGAATCATTTGATACTCAACTTTGCCCAGGAAAACAACTGGGAGAGCGTGGAAGTGAAACAAGGACAGATTGTCTCTTCTCTGTGGTGTGGTGGTGAGGGGGGGTGTCATGTTCAGGAGGGTGCAAACCTGCTTTTATTCCTCCCTGTCCTCTGTGACACCAATCTGTCTCCATTAGCCAGGGCAATTCCTTGTGTGTCTCAGGCTCTGCAGCCCTGGGCTGGGGCAGATGAACCACTGCACCCACAGCCTGGGCCAGGGATGCACCTCCCCTGCTCCCCTGGGAATGGCTGACACAGGGGATGTCTTCCTGAATTATCCTGGGAAGGTTTGCATCTTCCTACGTGCCAAAATTAAGAAGGATTTTCATTATTTATTATCAATTAAAAAAAAAAAAAAAAAGAAAAGAAAAGAAAACATTTTGGATGCATTTCTGATCTTTTGGAAATGAGCAGGGAGTGTTTGAATCTTTAGGTTGGTGGGCAGATAAATCAGGCAGGAGAAAACTGAGGGACTAAAGAGGGAGTTCTTTCAGGCTGCATTCCCTGCCTTGAGAATTTATTTGTCTCATGGAACAGTAGCACTGAAGGTATAATATGTTCAACATAGCGTGGAAAACCTTCAGTTCACGTGAGCTTTTTAGTTGGAGGGTTGGTTGTTTAAATTCAGGGCTGAGTGGAGAGAATCTACCAGTGAATGCAAAGCTCTGTCTTTTTGGATTCATCAATACCTGTGGTTGCTTTTTTGATAAGCAGCTTGTAAGCTGTGGTTTTAACGACTGCAGTTTCAATGTACTTAAAAATAAAACAAAATGGCAGGTCATGGAATGCAAATAAAAGTGTGTGTAAGAGAGGTTTTGAGGTCTCCAAGTATATGGTTCAGTTTGAAGGGAACTGACGCAGGATTCTCGCTATAAATAGTTATTAACCTGGTCAGCAGTGTTGGAGAAGAAATTTGTGCACCCCATGGAGTGCAGGCAGGATGCTGGTAGTTTCATAAGCCATTTCACAATTCTGAGATCTGCAGAATATCCTAAAAGCAGTGTTGTAAAAAGCACGGCTCCTGGGAGATGTTGGAGCAGCTCCTTTCAAAGATGAGTTTTATAACTCCTGCAGTCTGGCCCCTAGCAAGGAGTGCAGTGGCTGCTTGGCCAGATGATGTAAAAATGAGTTTAACTGACACAAACAAGAAAATGTTGCCTGTGGACGTAAGAAATGTGAGCATATTAAAGTTTTGCTCATGTTCTATAGAAAACATCACAGTGAGATTTGTTTTGAAATATGAGTGTTTTCTTAAAGAGTAGCTAATAATATTGCTGCATTTGGCACCCATTACAGCTCTGATGAAACAGCTGCTGCATCTATTCACTCTATCAGTTATGGCAACAAATTCCTTCATTATGACACTAAAATGGAAATGTATCATTCTTCTTGTACTAACTTTGTACAACAGAGGGTGCTTGGTGACAATTTTCTCAATGTGTGTGACATTTCCAAAACAAATTATGCTCAAGAAAACCTTCCACTGAAGTTGTCATTTATATAGCAGTCAACTCTTTATAATGTTCACAGCTTATGTTATGAGGTGGCTACACTGTTAAAATTTTAATAAGTGGGACCACAAAATAGGAACAGCATCTCAAAACGTGACAGCACTTACGGGTCCCACGGAAGCACCTCGGAGCCTGTGTGGTGTTGGCAGTTGTCTCGTTCCAGTTGAGACATTTAATCACTCCATCCCCCAAATCTGCAAGGCAAGATGAGTTGTTTTGTGATCACGAGCTCTGCTCTCACCTCTCCTCTGCCCTTCACAGAAAATTGCAGGAGACCCAGATGTCGACAGCCTCGAAGCTGGAGGAAGCCGAACACAAAGTTCAAGCTTTGCAAACAGGTTTGGCGTGGCTTTTGTGACCTTTTCCAGGTGATGAGGTGGGAGGGGAGAGGACAGGGGGTGTTGGCTGTGTCAGGACTGGGTGTGAAGCAGCTCTTGGTGTGCAGGGAGGTCCAGCAGAGCTCAGATGTGCTTTGTGAATCAGAGCAAACTCTCCTGTTGCAGCTGTCGCTGGCAAATACAGGGACAAGGCCATGGAGCACACACAGAATCAGAGCATCCCTGGAATTGCAGCAGGCCATGGAACTTACCCTCCATGTGTGTTCTGCTTCCACACATTTCCAAACTGGCATAAATATCTGTACTGAGCAGTGTGAACCCCGTTTCTTGCCTGTTGTTGCCATTAATTTTCATCTCTGCATACTTCAGAATTCCAGATCTGGATACATTTGGCTTTGTTTACTATGAGAACAGAAGAAAATTTATTCCCTGAACTACTGCAATAAGTATTTCAAAGGAATATGCAGTTTAGCCAGCTTAATAAGAAACTAATAATGTCTAGCTTGGTTAAGCAGAGCCTGGAAATTTTTGCAATGTAACAGAAATACTGTAAGGGATTGTGAAAAAAGTCAAAACCCTATGGTTTTTTCTAAGCCATAATGGTTTGCCTAGGTCGAAGGATAAAGCTAAGGAGGTGTACAGCTTTGTTTTTTTTTCATCAGGAGATGTACAGTCTTATTTATGACCAAATGCTGTTATTTCAGTACTGTAATGCTTCATGTTTATGTCTTTTAGCCTTGGAAAAAACCAGGACAGAACTATTTGATCTGAAAACAAAATATGATGAAGAAACTACTGCAAAGTAAGATCTCCCTGTTTTCTTTCTATGTCTTCCTTCAGGGTATCACTGATTTTTTTGTTTTGCATCTGTCTGTTGGAGAGAGATGAGATGAGAGAGGCTCAGGCATCCAAGTTTTTGGAAAACATGGTCATAATTTGGCCTCCTATGGAGAGATTATTAGTTTTTATATTTTCTTCCCCCCAACAAGACATTTCTCCTGGCACACATGCTGCTGCATTCCTGGTTTCATTCTCAGGTGCTTCATCTGTGTATCTCTTACCCTGCATATCTCTTGTATTTTATTTAGAAATAGGGCAGTTTCAGAAATAAGGTATTCATTGTGATCTTCCCATCTTGGTGAAAACAAAGCTTCATTTAGTAAATTATTTCTGTTTGACTCTTAGGCACTGTGGTTCTTTCTGCTTTTGGGGTAGTAATCCTTGCCCTGCTAGGTTCACCCCTAATTACAGAGAGCAGCATTTTGGGCAGATTTGCCTTGTTTTCAAGTAGAACATGAAGGTAGTCTTAAAAATATATATTCTTGTCTTCTTAATAGCTACTGTTTCCAATTATCCTCTGGTTTTATTAACCATCAGGGCAGGGAACAACAAAAGAAACAGACTGCTGCTGGTTTCCTTTGAACCCTTCATATTTACGGAAAGTTAATAATGAGAAGGAATTCTCATGATCAGCAGGATTAAGCACAAAGAGTCATTTCAGTGTCTGGAAATGGGATGGGAACGAAGCAGCCATTTCAGATGGCTGGGACACTCAAGGGAAGGGCTGGGACTCAATGTCACCTCCCTGTGCCCACTGCCCAGCATTAAAAACCAGTCAAGCTGGCACCAATTTTAAATTTCTGTGCCTGCTGAGGATCTGATTCCCCACTGAGGATGTGGGCAACCCAGCTGGAGCTCACAAAATTCAGCCCATGGTAGTTTTAACAACCAGCACTTGGAGTTTAAATACCTTTTATGTCCTTCAGGATAATCTTTCAGGTGAATTTTGGTCTGGCTCTGGAAGTCCACTTTCCTTTGAGCTCCATGTAGAATGAGTTCCATGCAAGGGGATCAAAAGTAGTTTTGTTCCCTCATTGATTCATCTCTCTCTAAGGGATGTAAACAAATGCTGGTTCAGATGGAGCCTTAAATTCCTGCAGATTGACTTTGTTTTTTCCTGCACATAACTGATAGTGTTGCTGTTATTTCATCTTGCAGTCACATCTGGGAGAACAGGCAGAGATCAGTGGTTGTAGGCACTGAACCTAATAACCTCTCACCCTTTTTAATGTGTTTATTTGCAGAGTGCTTCATTTTTTAATATTGTTTCCCTAAGTGCTGTAATTTATCTTATACTGAGCAAAATCTGTTCTCTAAAATATTTGTTTGCATTTCTAATCTCATTCTTTCAGGAAGAAATACTTATTTTTTATATGATCTTGAGAATGACTCTTACCTAATTTATATAGACTTACATAAAATTAGTAGCATCTGCAGTAACAAGGAGTTTATTGTGTTCTGTAGCAGAATGATTATGGAGACTGGCTCTGGAATATAGTGGTCATGGAGCTGAATCCTGAAGCAGACATTAAGCTTGTACTTTATCTCCCAGACTAATGTACTGTGAAAACAAACTTGTAGGTCCTAATAACAGCAGAAATATTTTATCATTCTTTTGGATATTTATGGCAGGAATAGTTCTTGCATAACAACAGTCGTCTGTAGCATTTGTAGCCCAAATTTTGCAATATGGAAATGTAGAAGAACATGAAAAGGGAACTGAATGTAGACAGTGAAATTGAGTCATCTATTTTAATTGTAAAAGCTGGGAGAAAGGCTGAAAAAACACCAATAAAAAGGGTGAAAGACAGTTTGATTCTTTTCTTAAAAGAAGCCCTCTTTTGATCTAAGTCTGAAAAGCTACTTGTATTGCCAATTTTAATTTTATGTTTTAAAAACATGTGATTTTTATCTTAGGCCAGAATTGTTAGTTTTACAGACGCTTATTTGATGCAGATGAATTGGAGTGCCTTCAGGAAAAAAACAGATAATTGTCAATATTTAAAAGCTAACAGTGCTTTTAAGATTTTCAGTCTCCGAATAAAGCTGTCTTTCAACTACTTGAAACTTTGAAAATCTTTCAAACAAGGCAAAAAAAACCCCAAGAAGCAACAGAAATACAGAGTGAGACGTCTTCATTATCAGCATTAAGGAGTCTGGATTTTATCCTGGAGACTGGTTGTGGTGATGTGAAAAGTTGGGAACCATTATGTCAACTTGTTTGCTTTATCTTTTCACTGTGTCCCCTTCTGAGTACTCTACGTGCAAAGAGAGGGACAGAGGCACAGCCAGGCACCTTCAGATGAGATCAGTGGCTGGAATTAAAATTTCCAGTCCAATTCTGTCATCCCCACGTACAAAATTCCCAGCAGGTGGGTGTGTGCTGCCCCTGCCCCTTCCCTGAGCCCCAGCACAGCCCCGGGCCGGGCACTGAAGGTGTTAATGACAAAAAGAAGTTTATTATGTGCAGTCATTGCAGTCTGTCAGCTGGAATATCAGAAGCTGCCTTTGACAAGATGGCAGGAGCAAAGTTTTCCATGTGTAGGCTTGAAGTAAAATGTAATTAGCCTTTATGTGCAGAACAAGGATCCATTGATGAATACAGCTGGTCTTTGTTTTCTTCTGTCATTGAGTGTGGGAGGTAAAAGTGTTCTTCTTCATGTTTATTAATACAAGATTCCTTAGACAAATGGCAAGCACAGTTTAATATTTGTTGGAACACAGAGGGGCTTGCCAAAACAGTTGTTGTGTAAGAGGATTTCAAGGTTTTCAGATTATAATCATCTCTGGGTTAAATAAATGAATGATTACTCTGCCTTTTTCAATTAAAGAGGCACATCCTCTCTCGAGGCCTGACACTGATTTTGTTTGCTGCCCCCCACGTTCCTATCAGCAAACCTGGATTTAACCAGCACTAATGAGTTTGATCTGGAGATTCTATCCGACCTGGAACTGAAAAAGCAAACTCAGACCTGAGTTTCAGCAAAATTAAAGAATATTGTGCTTATTTGTTTTTTTTCTAGTGCAACAGACTTTTTCTTTCTTTGTAGAAAAAGAAACATTCTGTATACATTTCCCCAGTTTTCCAGGGACAAGCTTTTCTCTCTGACAGTCCTCTTTCACTCTGCTCTTTCACTTCTGGTTTGCTGCAGAATCCAGGCGAGTGCTTGGGATTCCCAGCTGAGCTCCCAGCCAGAATGGTTGGATTCCAGTTTTAGATCAATTCCAGAGCCACCTCTTTGCTCTGATCCCTGCTCTCCCCCAACCTAAATGAATTCTAATTGGAAAAGGACCTTGGGTTGCAGCACATACAGTAGGCTTGTTACATTACTGTTAACATGTGGGTTGAGGCTCCCTGCCTTTGATGAAAGCAAATATCGAATTTCACTGAAATGCTCCATTTTCACCAGCCAGCTTTAAGTAGTCTTGGGAGGATTTCGGGTACTGCCCACTCCCCCCCTCCCCCCAGTTCTGCAATAAAAAGCCTTCATAAACAACACAAACCAGAAAATGTTTAGGTTAAGGTTGTCAGTCAGAGCAGCTCTGCCACCACCAGTTTTGTTACCAGTGGATTTTCTGTAAGATTCAGACTTTTTGTCTTTCTAAAAGTAGCACAGGAATGCTACTGAGAAGGAGCTTTTCATATTTACTGAAGCAGTCATCCAAACACAGCTACTTTCAATAACTTGTAGAAAAACATTTTGCCTCCAGTATATGGGCAGAGAATTGTTTTCCTTCCATAGATCAGACTGATTATTGTTTTTTTTAGCAGCACAGCTAAGGATGACACAGGAGGACAATGGGAACAGGAGGAGATGCCTGTGGTTTTTGGCTCTTTGGGGTAAAGGATGCTCTTCTTCCACATTATCAAACAGACCTGTCCTTCAGGCATCAGTGTAGAATAAACTTCTACAGATGTGCTTTTCTGCATGGAAGGAATGCAGGATTAGGCTTGGAGACAGGGGACCAGAACTTTTAGAGAATTCCTGAAGAGTTACTTCTGCCTGGAGTTAGATGGTGGAATTGGAGTTGAAGTATTCATGTGAAATCTTCTGCTCTATCAGGGAAAATCTGTTAACTTGGACTTCAAGGGAATAATTCCCAATATATAGTGAGAATTTAATTATTTACTTAAATATTTTTTTTAACAAATCTTTCTTGGTTAAATGCTGGTTGGTGCCAATATATCACTTCTCAAATGTTTGTAGTCTTCCATTTTGATGGTCCTCAGTGTCAAACCGAATAAAAAATAAAGTTGTGCTCCCTCCAGCATCACATAATTACTGTGATAAATGGTCTCAAATGCTGCTTCCCCCCACTGAGCCTGAAGTACTGCAGTTAGGGTGGTGATGTTGGACATGACATGAAATAGCTTCTATTTGTTGTGCCTTTAAGGTTTTAAAGTTCCCTATTTCCTGTTCCTTTGATGAGTCATTAACTTCTAATGCTCAGCTTTGGAATTATTGCTGTATTTAAAGTGATTTCTCTGAAAACAGGAGATGGAGAACTTCATAGGCCATGTCTCTTTTCAGAGTTTTTCCCTCACCTTCCTAGTCCTACTGCCACTGAAACCCCGGGATTGGTGGTAATGAGAGGATGAAAAACCAGGGAAGATGTTAGAGAGAACTATTTTTTTAAGAATTAAAAAA